CCAATAAAGTCCTCCCCCGCTGTCTGGGGAGAGGGGGGGTCCCCAAAAGCTCGTGGTGGAGCCGAAGACCCTCAGCTGTGCCTCAAAACCTGGGGACCCCCCCCCCCAATCCCGCCTCGGGCCCCCCCAGCCGCCAGGAGTGGTGGCAGTGGCTGCTTGTGGGGTGACAGCGGCTGTTTTGGGATGGTAGGGGTCCTTTCGGGGTGATGGGGCCTTTTTGGGGTGCTGCTGCCGGCCGAGTGTTTTTGGGGGCAGAAAAAGGGGGAAAGGGCTCAAAGGAACCCCAAAGGCGGCAGGGCCAGGGCTGCACCTCCCCAAAATAGCCCAAAATAGCTCAAAATAGCCCAAAATAGCCCTGACCCCCAAACATCCCAGATTGGGGGGGGGTTGGAGCTGGGAACACCTCGCGGCTTCTGGGACCCCGCAGGGATGGAAATGGAGGGGACAGGAGGGTTGTGGGGTGCGGGAACTCGGGGATCACAGCTCACACATCCTCCCCCAAAAAATAGGGCACCAGGAGGTGCCGGTGCAATGGGGTTCCCCTTCCCCCTGCCCCGGAGGAGCTGGAACCCCCAGTCTGGGGACAGGGGTGGGATAGGGGGGCAGCGGGGACACGGGGACCCCAATGCAGGGGAGAGAGATGCGGCCCCCAAAGCAGGGCAGGGATTTGGGGACCCCGATGCAGGACAGGGAATGTGGACCCCAAAAAGTGGGGGGCACAGGGACCCCTGTGCAGGTCACAGAGACGGAGACGATGGATGGGGGACCCCAATCAGGACGGAGTGACCCCAATACGCGTCTGGAGTCCCCAGTGCGGGGCAAGGAGATTTGGGATGGGAACGAGGTGCAGGAGACGGGATGAGGACCCCGGTGTGGGGCTGGGGACCACGGTGCAGGACACGGTGACCCCGATACGGGGGCGGTGACCCCAATACGGGCATGGAGAGGTGAGGCATGACCGGAACGGGGACCCCAGTGCGGGGCAGGGAAATGGGGTCCTCAATGGAGGTCAGGGGATGGGGACCCTCATGCAGGTCAGGGGAACCCCAAAGCAGGTCAGGGGACGGAGCCATCCTATTGGGACCCCAATATGAGCATGGGGATCCCAATACGGGGCTGAAGAGCTCATGCAGGACACGGAGACCCCAATATGGGGCTGGAGAGCCCCAGGCAGGACAGGGTGACCCCAATGAGGGCCAGAGGTCAGGGCTGTGGGCTGGGGCCGGGCTCCTTGTGCCAGTCCCAGGTTCCCAGCACGAACTGGGGGCGCGGGGGGTGCCAGAGCCGGGTCTCCTCGGCCAGGGGGTCCGGCGCAGGGGCGCGGGGGGTCCCCCCAGAAAGGATATGGCCATTCGGTGATCTTTTTGGCGTATTTCCTCACCACGTTGTCCTCACTGAAGAGGAAGAGCGAGCGGTTGACGGTGAGGCAGTTCTGCCGCACCGGGATGGGGTTGTACAGGGCCATGGTGCGGGCGCGCTGGGCCATGGACTGCTTGTAGAGCCGCTGCGCCCCGGGGGGGCCCTGCCGTGGGCCCCCCCCCGCGCCCCGGCCCCCCGCCGCCGCCCCGGGGCCGCTCCCGCCGCCGCCGGGCCCGTAGCGGGCCGCCACCTCCTCTCCGAAACGAGCCATCCCGCCGGGGGGGCGTCACGCTGCTGAGGCCGGCACCGTCGAGGAGCTCATCACATCCCATGGGCCCCCCCAAATTCTCGCGGGGGGGAAGCGGGGTCCGTCCCGACCGGCCGCGAGGCGCTCAGGCGGCGGACGAGAGCGGTGCCGGCATCCCGAGCATCCTCCGGTGCGGCGGCGCG